CCTGCGGGACGGCGCTAAGCCCCGGCCCCCGGTTTCCTGCCCGCGCTCCTCCCCCGGTTCCCCCGGGTCCCGCACGGCCAAAGCCGCCCGGGCCGGCCCGGGTCGCTCACACCCAGCGCGGCCCGAGCCAGGCGGGACGTGCCCGGCGCGGCGGAGGTGAGTGAGGGGTCCCCGGGACCCCCGGAGGCTGCGGCTTCCCCGGGGACACCCCGCTTGGGGAGAGCGGGGGGGACACCCCAACACCGCTGGCACCCCCATAGGAACACCCCTCTCACCCCACCGCGGCTGGGTGTCCCTTTAACGGCCCAGCTGGCACCTCCGCCCGCTTAATTGGCAGAGGTTAATTAGTGGCCAGGGCTGCGGCTGCTTCCTCTCTCCCAGCTGGGCTGCGGGGCTGAGCTCCCGTTGGGGGGGATGCGGGCTGGGCTCGCTGGTGGACTGGGGGTGAGGCTTGAGGGGTCCCTGGAGCGACATCTCGGGTCTGCGTGCGGTGAGTGGTCTCGGGGGTCCCCAGGTCGGGGAAAACCCTGGGTGAGGGGGAACATGCTGGGGCTGGGGTGCCATCACCCTGCAGCGAGGGAGCCGGCTGGAGACTGTCCCATCGGTTTGGGGTGAGCCCTGAATGGGTGTCGGGGTGGCTGCTGTACCCCGGGGGTCTGTACTACCCTTGCCACGACCCTGCTGCTCTCTCCTTTGGGGCAGTGGGCTGTAGGAGAGGCAAATCTGGGCTGCTCCTGTGACCCCCCAACGTGCCCCCCCCCGGCTGCTGTGACCCTGATCTCCCAAGGCAGCCCCAAATCTGCTGGCCAGTGAGCCCTTTGCTGCGGGCTCTGTCCTGGGATGCCGTGGGTGCTGCGGGGGGAGGTGAATCCCTGCGCTGCCTCTTCTCCCCCAGCCCCATGTTTCCACACCGGGCAGTGGGATGCAGGAGGAGCACTCCTGCACTCAGAAATGCTGCCTGGCTCCCTCCCTCAGGTGTGGGATGTTCCTCAGGGGGTTTGCTGGGACCCTCTGCAGAGCAGCCATGTCCCGAGAAAGTATGGGGCTTAGGTGGCCCCATCTGCCCTGTGCTCTCCAGCATGGAAACAGAGAATTGAGACTTGGCTCCCCTTCCTTCTCTATTGGCAGAAGCACGAGGCTCCCTAGAAGATGGGCGACTGGGGTTTCCTGGAGAAACTGCTGGACCAAGTCCAGGAGCACTCGACGGTGATCGGGAAGATCTGGCTCACTGTGCTCTTCATCTTCCGCATCCTCATCCTGGGCTTGGCCGGGGAGTCTGTATGGGGGGACGAGCAGTCGGATTTCGTGTGCAACACAAAGCAGCCGGGCTGCACCAATGTCTGCTATGACAAAGCCTTCCCCATCTCCCACATCCGTTACTGGGTGCTCCAGTTCCTCTTTGTCAGCACCCCAACCCTGATTTACCTTGGCCACGTTGTCTATCTCTCCCGGAAGGAGGAGAAGCTGAAGCAACAGGAGAGCGAGCTTCGGGCTATCCACAGCAAGGACCCGAAGATCGAGCAGGCCCTGGCGGCTGTGGAGAAGAAGATGTCCAAGATCTACGTGACGGAGGATGGGCGGCTCAAGATCCGAGGGGCGCTGATGTGGACGTACATCATCAGTGTGATCTGCAAAAGCATCTTTGAGGCTGGCTTCCTTGTTGGCCAGTGGTACCTGTACGGCTTCTCCATGGTGCCCCGCTACGTGTGCAAGAGGGACCCCTGCCCTCATCAGGTAGACTGCTTCATCTCCCGCCCTACCGAGAAGAGCATCTTCATCATCTTCATGCTGGTGATGGGCCTGATCTCCTTAATCCTGAACCTCCTGGAGCTCTTCCACCTCTGCTGCAAGAACCTGCTTAGCAACATCAAGAAGGTGTCGGGGCCGGCCGGCCCCAGCCGGGATGCCTTTGCAGATGACATGGTCTCGGGTCCCTACACACCCAAGCATTACCCCTTCCTGCCCATGGCCGAGAGCCACACGCCGTCCTACCAGGCCTACAACAAGCTCTCCAGCGAGCAGAACTGGGCCAACTTCCACAACGAGGAGAACCTGGCACTGGGCAGCGGCAGCAGACCCCTGTCGGACCCCTATGCCCCCAGGGCTGCTGAAGCCCCCGCCCCAGAGGAGAAGCTATGCAGCCGGCCCGGGAGCTCAGCCTCCAAAAAGCAGTATGTCTAGTGCCGGGGCTGGCCCCGGCTGGCCGAGGGGACCTTTCTTCGTCCCTCGTGCCTGCAAAGGTGCTGGCTGCAGGCAGGCAGCTGCCTCCTGCCTGGTGCTGTGCCGTACGGATGGGCCCCGCTCCGGAGGCTGTGCCCGCGGAGACCTGCCTGCCCCGGAATGCGATGCTCGGGAGCGGGGCTGAGTGTCACCCTGGAGCGGAGCCTTCGCTCTCTCCTGTTTTCCCCACAGACCCTGCAAGGAAGGAAACCGCAGAAAGTTCCCCGGGACGTCGCGTCCCGCGTGCCTCACCGTGGGAAAGGGAGAAATCTCTGGAGCCACGCGCCTGGGAACGGGCTGTCCCCGGGACCGTGGCGGGAGGCTGCTGCCCCTCGGGACCTGCGGCTCGGCCGGACCCCGGAGCTTGCCGGAGCCCCCGCCGGCGTGAGAGCCGGGCGTGTGGCCGTGGGAAGCCACTCGCCTCCAGCCTCCACACGGAACGGGCTGAGCCTGGGAGGGCTGGGGGGAGCTGGGCTTGATGGGTCCTGTCCACCAGCCCCGTCCTGTTCCTCTGACCCCGGCAGGGAGCCAGCAGGGCCAGCGGCTCCTGCCTGGGGTTTGCCGCCGGAGCTGCCCCTTCCCTGCAGGGCATGGGGGGGGATTAAGCCAGCGGCAGATCTCAGTCGGGGCTCTGTGGTGAGCGGCTGATCCCGATGGCTGCAGGGTCACCGCTCCGGTGCCCTGGGAGTGTGAAGCCCCCCCCCCCACCTCCTGGCCCTGGATCCTTTCCCATGTGGTGTGTGTGTCTCTAAGTTATTTTTAACCTGCTGGCCTGAGCATGGAGCTTTCTGCCTTAAAGGTGCAGTTGTGCCGGGGATTTGGGGAGCTGTGTCTAGCCTGGGCCACGCGCCCTCCAGCCCTGTGGTTTTGGGGGAAGAATTAGCCTAGCAACTGCTGGTTTGGGGGGCTATTGGTTTTATTACTTTGCACTAGTCCTCTCCTGCTGTGGGCTGAGGTGCTGGGGGGGGGGGGGGGAAGAACCAACTGCCACAGCAAGAGCGGTTGCCCCAACTTCCCCAGCCCACTGGTGCTGTGAAAGGGGAAGGTCCTGTGATTACTGAGGGGCTGTGGGTCCTGCGTGACCCAGGCACAAGTGTGGAATGCAGACATTATTCCTCAATGCTGTTTCCTTCCCCCCTTGGCAGACTCAGTGTGGCATCTTGTTGAATAAAGTCGGATGAATGAAAAAGGTGAAGTGTGGTGTGACTGTGCTTCGTGCAGCTACCTTGGGGAGGGTGGGTAAGGGTTTGGGGCCGAGGGAGAGGGAAGCTGCTGTCCCATGGGTGATGGGGCTGGGCTGAAGGGGAGCATGGGCACCCTTTGAGCTCCAGTTGTGCTGCTGGTGCCGCTCACCCCCTGAAAGCACAAACCTCCCTGCTATAGTGTCCTGTCCCCTCAAGCCCAGCCTTGGCCCAGGGGTGGTGCAGGCTCTGGGTGACCCAAAGCAGGACTCATTCCCTCTCCCCATGGTCCGGCTCTGCTGCAGATAAACCCAGTGGAAGCTGCGGAGTTGCTCGTGGCTGCATAATAGGTGGAAATGAGCAGCAGATAAAGGCACACAATGCGGCTGGGGCTGTTGTTTAGTTTGTACAGCCAAGCCAGCCCTGGGCAGAGCCTGCTCTCGGCCGAGGGCCTCTTCAGCAAGGGTGGGACAGGCTAAAAATACCCTGGAGAAAATGAAATATGGGTGATACGGGGTGATATCGCTGCCATCGGCCACTGGAGGAAGCGAAGAGGGAGGCACCCGGCTGTGCTGCCCTTGGGGCAGAGCCTGGGCTGGCGGCTGAGCCTGCCCTTGGCTCCCCTCCCTGCCGGGGATGGGGGGGGGGGGCAAAAATCCCCTGGGGTGGGGGTCTGGGGTGCATGCTATCAGCCCTCGCCTGCGCCCTCCATGAGGATGCTGGGGCAGATCCCCTCTGGAGGGACCCTGCCCTGCTCCCACCATCTCTGGAGGGACCCTGCTCTCCCTGTTACCCAGTGGGGACCCCCCCGGGGCACCCCAGTGCAATGGGGGACCACAGCCCAGTGCTCACCGGGCATCAGCAGAGCTGCAAAGCCCCAAAAGCACTGTGGCTTTCTGGGGAGAGCAGGCTGGCGCGCTCGGCCAGGAGGAAATGCCCGTGTGAAAGGTAACGGTGCAGCCGTGCGGTGTGTTTACCCGCCGGCAGCGCTCCGCCGCTCGCCTCCCCTCTCCTGGGCTGATATTTTTGTTGGCACCGGGGGAGCATCACGCATTTTCCGAACGGCCCTGCAAGGTGGTAAACAAGACGGCCGAGACCCCCCCCTTGCCTGGACACGGTGCCCGGCCGTGGGCGCTGAGCAAACACAGCTCCACGTCCCGTTATTGTTCCCGTGTTGTGACAAGGCGGCTCGGGGGCTGCCGGCGTGACCCCCACGCTGCCGGGACCTGCCCACGGCACACGCCAACAACAACAGCGAGGGGTTCACCTGCGCGGCAGGGCCGCGGAGGGGGTGACAGCGGGGGCCGGTGCTGGCAGCAGCCCCCCAGAAGGTGGGCAGGAGGCCCTTAAGCAAATAAAAGTTTGGAGCTGATAAGGGCGCGGGGCTGGCCCGGTGAAGCCCTTTGGCACAGCCTGGGGACAGATAGCAGCCAGATGGACATGTATGGCCTTTCTCACACCTCCACGCTCCCTCCTGAGTAAACAGGCCCCTCCAGTCCCTTTCTGGGAATGGCACTTGCTCCCACAACACCCAGCCCTGTACCATGATGCTGAGCCCTGCGGTGGCAGGGGCAGCCTGGGGACCGCGGTGAGGGGCTCCCCATGGGCACCCCCAAGATCCAGCTCTGGGTCCAGCTCTGGGATAACGGGCGGCAAGCAGAGCCCCGAGTGTGTGCCATGATGCACCGGGACCCACCGCAGCTGCCCAGCCGGGATGGCGGAGAGCCCTGGGTATCGCCATGGGGTGGGAGCATCACGGGACTGTTACCATGGCCACTCACACAGGCTGTGACCCCCGGCGCTGGGAGTTTTTTGGGGGGCAGCTTTTTTACCCCTCATCTAAGAGCCTTGTGGGCTTTATCCCAATCCAAGGCACAGCCGCAGCCCTCCAGAACTATCTGGGGGAGAGCGAGCTGCCTGCCTGCACTGTGCCCTGGTGCAGGAGCCAGGCTGCCTTCCTCAGCAGGGTGCAGGCAGTGCCGTGGGGCTGCTCCCGCATCCTCAGCTCCTGGAAGAACACGAGTGTCCAAAGAGGGATGTGACGTGGCCGAAGGAGCAAAAGGAAGAGGCAGAGAGGTGGACAGACAGATGGATGCGCACCTGACCGACAACAGCCTGAGGCTGGAAGTGTACAGGCGTGGGGTTGTCCCTTGGGTGCATGGCCAGCAGCACTGTGCACCCCTTCGGCTGCTCACCAGCGGTTCAGGAGGATGCTGGGGTGGGGGGGTGGCCACTTGGAGCACCCCCTGAGTCTGGAAAGGCTTTGGGGCAGCTCTGACTGTCCTGGGACCCCAATTCCTGCTGGGGACATAGGCCTAATGCAGCCCCCAGGAGCTTGCACCAGTGACTGCCCCACAGCCATGGGTTTGGAGGGAGATTCCTGTCCTCCTCCCAGTTAGGACCAGTCCGTGCTGGGCTCCCTCTGCACTATCCTGCCCTGGGCTGGGGGAAAGGAGCCATGAGGGCTGCCGCAGCGTATCCCACCTGCAAGGCTCTGCCCAAGGCGCTGGCCGAGCACCAAGGAGTTTATTTTTAAGCTTTCCCAGCATACAGAAAATAGCAAGTGTCTAAATCCGACCTGCTCGCAGGAAGAGCCGCGGCGGGAGCAAAATTGCAGCTGAGAGGGGAGGAAGGGCAGAGGGCTGGGCAGGGGAATGCCAGCTGGGGTCACAGCACAGGCCCCTGTCCCCCTGGGGCCCCATCCGTGCCCGGGGCTCTGCCTGCAGTTTACCAGTGCCCCATTTCCCGCAGCCCCTCAGGGGAAGCGGGGTCAGGCAGGAGCAACCTCCTGGGCCCCTGAACCCCAGCACCCCATGCCCACAGGACCCACCGTCGAGGCAATAACCAAGCCAGGTACAATCTCGCCCTTCTCAGCGCCGCTGCCAACAGCGCACAATGAAGGAAAAGCAAACCCCAAAGAGTTCCTTTCCTCCCCTGGCCCATCCCCAGCGCGGGGTTATATTTAGCCCTCCACGCGTGGGCACAGCAGACAATGCGGCCCCATGTGAGAACCGCAGGCAGGAGGAAACGCGCTCAATAGCCCCGACGACTTCCCGCATCCTGACATTGTCGCTCCCCTCCAGCCGCTTCCTTGTGCGGAGGCAACGGGACTGCAGCGGCCAGCACCCCCATGCCCATCCCAGGATGGGTGCTGCACCCGCCAGCAACTCAGGGCATCATCCCAATGGAGCACCAGGAGGGCAGGGGCTGCTGCCTGCATAGCCGGGGGCTTTTTCTGGCATGGGGAGGTTTGATGTGGTCTAAAAGCAAGGAGCTGCGGTGGCCCTGGGGTGCTGGGGATGGGGAGTCAGCCATGAGCTGCGGCTGCAAGAGGCAATGCCGAGTGGGAAGGGAACACGTCCCACTGTAGCTGTCCCTGGCCAGGCCTCGAGGAATGCGTCTCAGTGCAGAGCGGATTTGCTCCTCTCCCATAGCACTTCAGGGTTTTTCCTGGTGGCAGAAAGGAGCCGTTGGACATGGCACAGTGCGCCTGCGCCATGGGGCCATGGCAGGAAGAGGCAAGCGAGACAGGGAGGCTGGGAAAGGACTCGGCTGCACTTGGAGAAAGGGCAAAACGGGAGCCTGGGAAAACAGCCTCGGCTGGCCTGGGCAGGGGAGGGAGCAGACGTCCCCAGGGGCTGCGGGGGATGCACCACTTGCTCTCCAGTGCAGTTAGGGTGAGGACCCTCCATGTCCCTGGGGCTGCAGGGACACTGCACTGTGTGCGGGTCCAGGGTGACCGTGCTGCTCCAGAATGGGACACAGGACCATGAGTCCCTGTGGGCCCCCAGCTCCCTCCCTGCTCCAGCCCCCCTGTGCCTCTCCTCTCCTCCCCAAAGCATCGTCGCTCAGGGCCTTGTGGGAAAGGGACTGATGGCTCCGAGCAGCTCTTGTGCCAGCACAGGGTCACAGCATCTATAGCCCCATGCACCTGGTGCATCCCTGCTCTGATCTAACCGGACGTCCGCTGCAGCCGTCCAGGTGTGCCGAGCTGTGCTGAGCGGCCGGGGGGGGGCTCTCACTGTCCCTGCCTGCACAGCAGCTGTCCCAGTCCCCTGGGCCAACCTCCAGTGAGCTGGGGAACAACTTGTGTCCCCCCCCAACACACAGCCCCGGCTCGCTCCCTGCATCCTGCCTCCGGAAACCACCACCTGCTCCTCTCGCAAGCTGTTCGTGATGGACCCCCGGGAGCAAACCCGACCCCAGGCAGGGCAGAGGGTCAGCCCGGGGGCCGCAGCCACCCTCGGAGCCCACGGGGAGGAAGCAGCAAGGCAGTAGGGCCATGCCAAGAGCACTGCAGCCAGTTTGCCCCCACCAAGCCAAGGGCACAGCCACCACGTGCTGGGCAGGGACAGGCAGCACTTCTGCAGCTGCCGGATTCGATCCCTGCCCTGTGGCACAGAGCAGCCGCAGCCGGCCGCGGCCGCAGGGACTTCCCCGAAGCCAGGCAAGCCCTGGGAGGATGCTCGCCTGTAAAACACCAGCCTCCAGGCCAGACACAGGACTCCCCCTCCGCCTCGCACGGCCCCGGACACGCTGCTGGCACGGCTCCCTGCCACATCCCGCTGCAGTGCCCGGCTGTGCCATGCTGGGAACAGCTGGATTACAAACGTGCTGGGCCAGACCAAGGACTTGCGCTCGGGCAATTGTGTTGCAAGCTCGGGAAGCTAGTTTTTTGCCATAATGGTTTATTCAACAAAGCTTCCTCTCACCCTTCTTGAGCCACTGTGGCTGCTCACCCCAGCCCTGAGTGCTTGCCGGCTCCTATTCTTGTACAGCCGGCACTTCCCAGGCAGCACATTGTTGGGATTCAATGGGAGGAAGGGTGGGTTTACAGCACCAAGAGTTATAGGAGAAAAGCGGCACTTTCCCGCACTGTGACTGGTCTTTGGGAAGCGGCTTCACCCCTTTCCCAGCGCCTGCGGGGAACCATGGCCCTGCAGCAACACCAGCATCTGCTGTGGGGACGGACAAGAGTCCCCAGACACACGGAAACCAGCTGGAAACATGGTGGGACCAGCAAGGGAGCCATGACAGGAGCAGGGCAGGGGCTGGGGCTGCCCAGCCAGGTGCTGTTGGTGCCTGTGCAGCCCCCGTTGGGGCTCAGTCCTTCCCGAGGGCATTGCTCCAGCACCGTGCTGGAGCAGCCCCCCCAACCGACATGGTGTGGGCCCAGGGGAGGAAACAGGGCAGAGAGGCCCCGACAAAGCCCAATTGTGCCCAGCTGGCCCTGGGAACAGGCAGATCAATGGGCTATAAACAGCCGGGGGAGCCACTCTGTCGCGGGGTGAACAAAGGCATTTCAGAAGACGTTTCCGAGCTGGGTCTGGCGGTCCCGTCTGGGGGAAGGGACGGGACCGTTCCCACCCTGGTGCACAATAGGGACCAGTCGGCGCCCAGCATCACCCCACAGCCAGGCTGGGAAAGCAAGAGGCCAAGGGCTAGCTCAGGGGACAGTGCCAGCCTGTCAGGGGGACCAGGGTGATGACATGAAAGGTGCTGTGAGCCCCAGTGTGGGAGGCAGCAGTGGGGCAGGGCTTCGACAGCCTTTGCATTGCCCCAAGACTCCTCCTGCACCTTCTAACCCAGCCTCAGCTGCCCTCACACATCACAACGGCAAAGGCCTGTGAGTTCCCGGCAGTGCCGGGCCATCAGCCTGGCCGGAGGGCAGCGATCCAGCCTGAGGACAGAAGGTTGGGAGGTAAACACAGCCAGGCAGCGACGGCAGTAAAGCTGTCAGTGGGGCAGAAGCTGGCCCCGAGGAAGCAGGACAGAGCGATGTGAAACGCTGAATTGGCTGCTGACCTCAGGGCTTCGCACCAGACACGACAGATTTATCGTCCCCGGGAGGGGAAGGCCGGGCCGGGGCAGCAGCGAGGCCTCGCTCAGGCACCAGGGGAAAAAACAAGCCGGGAGGCAGCGATAACCCCGGCTACGGCCCTGGCACACTGCCGGCAGCGAGCGGCGGCACGGTTACCGGCTGGCCCCGCTCAGGCAGTTCTCACCAGGGTTTGGTCCTGCTGTGCCAGTGATGCCTGAGGCTGGATGGGACACAGGCCACCAGTCCCCAGTGCTCGCTGCCAGTCTCTCCTGCCATGGGCTGCCCTGCTCAGCAGCCCAGTGGGACCCTCCCTGTCCGCTGGGACCCCACCCGGTGCTGCCACAGCCCTTCTTGTCTAGATAAGGAGGTCGAAGGGAAGCAAATGACGTGGCTGGGGGAGCCAGGAGGGAGGCACAAGCACAGCACAGGCTGGGATTTCGGTGCCTCCCCCTCCTTCCTGCCCGCCACCCTGTTGCCAGGCCCCGAGGTCAGTGCCCAGCCAGGGACAACGATGGCATTTCTCCCATTGTAGAAGGGGTTGCTTCTTGAAAACATGGGGAGCAGAAACACACTGAGCCAGGGTTGGGGCCAGGTGCTGATGCAGACGACACAAGAGGGCCAAGGACTGACAGAAGTTTATTCTGGCTGTTCCCGTACAAGGCAGAGATCTCCCCGCTCTCTACATGCCAGCCCAGAGCCACCACCACGCTCTGAGCTCCACGACGGAAGCAAGGCCAGGACTTCCACCTCCCCCTGTCCCTCTTCCTCGCTGCAAAGCCTGGGGGTGATGCAGAGAGGGCTTCCCCAGAGATCTCCACTGCTGCTCAGGCTCCTGTGGGCATAACACGGTAGCGTGGTGCTGTGGTCAGGGTTCACAAAGAGCCACGGGAGAGCTGTAAGCAGGACAGCAGGTCCTCCCGCTCCAGGCGGTTAGCCTGACCCCAACCCCACATCACTCAGGTCCAAGTTTCTTCTATCTTCACGCCATGGAAGAAACCAAACCTGAAGAGACATGGGTGGAACCAGGCTGAGAGGGTTTTGTGGTTCAGGGGCCAGGGCAGGCCGAGCTGACGAGTTTCAGACACATTCCACCTCCAAAGCATGGTTCCCTGCCTGCTTTGCCACAGAGGAAGAGGTTTGGGTGCTGTGTCTCGAGCGCATCCATGGGGTGGGCAAACCCTGACCCTCCGGAGGGCCCCGGGGAAGTGAAGAGCAGCAGTGAGCACAGCGTATTGCCCAGATATGGCCCAGTGCAGGAAGAACGCTGCTGGAAGATGTGCAGGCAACAGGGGAGTCCCCAGCATGGTGCTGCAGGCCACAGCCCTCCGGCAGCCGGCCCCAGCCCCAGGGACAGTCGCTCCAGGGCGCTGCGTTTGCCCAAACAACTTTATTAACTTTTTTCCGGGCGGTTCCTGTTCAGCACGGCCCGAGGGGCGAACTCGAGCTTCTCCTTCAGGCTCACCACCTTGGTCAGGTCCTTGCCCGCGATCTCTTGCAGCTTGCGGTCCTCCCGCTGCTCCGAGATGCTCTTCTCCTCCTCGGCCGCGGGCGGGGGGTCCCCACGGAGGAACCACTCCAGGTGATAGCCCACCAGCCCCACCACGAAGGCCACCGGGAAGGTGACGTACGGGGCCTTGGAGCGCACGGCCGCCCACAGCACGGACCACATGGTGCCGGGGGCTGCGCCTGGCAGGGGGAGAAACGCGGCGGTCACAAGCCGGGCCCGGACCCCCGGAGGCCTGCGGGCCGGTTAACGCCCGGGAGAGGCTCCGGCGGGCAAGGCCGCACCGGGGCGGGCCGCACCGGGGCCTCAGTACTGACCCACAGGGAACCGGGACCCGCCTGGGCCGACACCGGGACCCCCGCCCGGCCCCCGAGGGGCTTCCCTGCCGCCGGACCCGGACCCG